AAAACCATTATACCCTGATTTCCCATTTTCAATGGGTTCAGGGTATAATAAGCGGAGTAGAGAGTTGATAATATGTTTAAGAAAACTATAAACAAATAAATTGCTCACATTATTTGACACATATGATATCTAAATCAAACACATATAATATATAAACCATTTAAGCCATTTAAGAGGCAAACTATAGTTCATCTTTAATAAGTTAGAGTATGTATAACAAAAAAGTTGGCTTAAAAAAACATAAATAAACAGTAAAAAGTATTTCAAAACAAGTGGGAGCAGTGCAAACGGGCGTGACCAGCTGCCCAATGCTCGTTAACATTAACTAAACAGTTGAATGCAATAAAAAACATTTGAATGAGATGAAAAGAGATCAAGCAGGAGATGCAGGAGCAAAATATTGCTCAATGCAGCTGCAGCAGATATAGTTATTTCCGCATGGCCAGGCGGACATTCTCAAGCCTCTGACTCAATGTGCTTCCCCTTCACACAGACACACTTTCAAGCGTTGCACAAAACCCATAAACTCTCCTTTCACATTCGTGCAGGAGCATAACGAGGCTTGGCTGGCGAGTTAACTAAAGTCAACACAATGTAACCGAAACTGAAAGCGAATTGGACTTGAACTGAGCCAACACAAAAAGCAAAAGAAAATAATAAAAAAGTAAAAGAATAACAAGAACAAGAACAAGAAAGAGAAAGAGAGAGAGAGGGAGAAAAAAGGGGCAGTCGCATTGGAATAGTAGGCGTGACCGGGCTGCGTGGAGCGAGTCCTTTACAAGTTTGGTTCGCCGTTGCTAGTCATGATTAATGATGCCGTTGTGGGCTCGCATTTCCGCTTCGTTTAAAGTTGAAATGTCGTTGGCCATCTGCTGTTGGCCAGTTTTGTTATTGCTGTTACTGCTCCTGCTGTTGTTGGGCTTATCATTGTTTGTCTTTTGCGGGTTGCGGTTTGTTTAACATTGAAATTAACTTTAGCCATACAATATTTCAATTTCATTACTAATTTAGCCATAAACTGCAATAATATGTTCCATCAATGCCAACTATTCAATGCATAACAATTTGTGCATTCACACACACACACACACACACACATACATACATACACATACATATTTAGCTGCTTCCTCTGTCGCATAAAATGCATCTGCAATAATCTATAATGGAAATTTCAATGGCTATAACGAGTTTTGTATGCCAGCTCACATTTCCAATTGGATTCTGATTCGCTTCGTTAAAATCTGATTCGAATGCCAGCAATTATTTTCGCCCAAATTGGCAGTGTGTGTGGGTGGGAGAGAGAGAGAGACAGAGCGAGCGACAGATGTGGAACGTGTTGGCATTGGGACAGGCAACTACATGATTCTGCTCTTGAGCTGCTGTCGGGCAAATTGAGTGAATTGCATAGAGATGGGCGTTTATCGATACTTTGCGATAGTGGATGTCCACTGCAAATAAGCACGAAATTTGCTTTTAAATGTAATTCTCTATACAGATCTAATTTACAAAAAAAAAAAAATTAAAAAAAAGTCAATAAATATAAAATACAATATTTTAATAAATATATTTCATATGAATTTAACTTAAAGCCAGCAAAAAAAGTTATTAATAAAGAACTGCAAATATTTCCCTGGCAATCAATGAAATTGGCTATTTAAAGCACGACTCCTGCTTCTCTTAGCACTCCCATCTCTAGCATAAACCACATGTGGGGTGGCGCACAGATTTTCGATGTTACTTGAGCAGAATTTTCGAGCGTGCAATGACACCTAAGTGAAGTACTGAAGAGCCGCTCAGCTCTCTGATCTGACATCATTTGGTATGTGACAGCTGTGCTGGCTCTTAAAACTAGAATCCGAATTAGTTCTTGCTCACGCTCCACTCCAGTCAGTTCAATCGCTATCATCTTAATGGCAATAGATGCCACTTAGTGCAGTTGCAGTTGGCACGAATTGCTAATCAGAGCACACAATGCGGCGTTTAGTTGCAAGCAAACAGCTTAACAATGTGATAGACAGATGGACGGGCGGACAGACGGACAGCTGGATAGGCTGACATGGATGGACTGGCAAAATGCTCAGTGATTATGCTGGCCAGGACAACAGGCAAAGGACACCGTCCACCGTCCGCCGTCCGCTGTCCGTCGTCCGTCGTCTGTTGTCTGCGATAAGCGCAAAGTTTTCTCGCATTGTGCGCAGGCAAATGCAATTCAAATGAGCTCACTTCCATAGCCATGGCCAGTCATGTCAGTGCCTGACAGCTTCTGTCGACCTGCAGGCAGAGAGGCACACATACACACTAACACACCCACACACACACATACACTAACACACCCACACACACACATACACTCACACAAGCACTCGCTGCATTCATTTGAATCGCTTCATATTCGATGCACACTGATTGAGGGCCCTGCAATTTGAATGTTGTCAGTAGCAGCCGCAGCAGCAACTGCAGCACCAGAAGCAACAACAACAACAACAAATACAACCACAACATTTACAACAACATTAGCATAATTGCACTGGCTGCTGTGCAGAACTTGATCAGCAAATGCAAAAAAAAAGAAATGGGCGTCCATTATGTGATTGAATCTACTAGCCCACTTTCAGTCACACCACGCCCACACACACACAGCCCACTGTGTGGAAGCTGTCAGCTATGTATATGTAATCAATATGCAATAGCAACAACTAAATAATATATTTGATAATATTCATAGAAAAACTGATTTAATCAACTAAGTGAAATATTTCTATAAATGCAGAAATATGAAATGTGGTAGGTGAGATAGATGAGGGAGAGAGAGAAAGAGGAGTGGGAATGAGAGTGAGAATGAAAGTGAGAGTGAAAGAGAAAGCAAAGAAGGGAGAGAAAGGAAGGAAAAGAAAGAGAAAGGGGAAAATAGAGAGAGAGAGAGAGAGAAAGAGGTGGACTAGACAGTAAACGATACATAGATAAAGAGAAAGGAATAAATAAAGATATAGATAAAGATTGGGATAAATATAGATCAATATATAAGAAGTAAAGAGAGAGAGAGAGAGAGAGAGAGAGAGAGAGAAATAGACAAAGATAAACATATACACATACATATACATATATATATATATCTTTACTCAGTCTCACATATGAAATCTCTCAATAAGAAATTCAGCCGCACTTCAGCCAATAAAGCCATTTAAGCACTCCATTGCCCCAGGGTTATCTCCTCAACGATGATATCCAATTAGTGTTAACGCTTAAATGCTCGCAAAGCTCATTAGAATAAATATGCATGGATAATATTGTTCTTTTGTATTTGGGCCAAGTTATTCAAATGATAATAATGCAAATGCCATTAAAATATTTATGCGAGTCGGCTGCATAATCTATCTCTATTCCTATCTCTCTCTCTCGGTTTGTCTCTCGTTCTATGCCTGTTTTGTTCGTTTATTCATATACATATTCTGTCTCAATTGTAATGCCCATTGGCATGTGAATATTATGTGTGCACACACACACACTCATACTATTTACATAGGCAACTTTTTGTTTTTGTTTGCTCGAGTGCGGAAATTGCTCCAAATGTTCAATAAAACTGCAATAAACTCCAGTAAATGGCCATATTTTGTCACACACACCCACACACACTCACGCACAATAAAGTTTTCCAATTAAAGCGCGCTTGAAATGAATTATCTTAACCCAAACCCTAATCGTAATCCCAGCTCGTATCGCTTGAGTTAAATCTAAACCTTAACGCGGTTCTCAACTCATTCATTCATGTGGTTAAAGTCTGTTTTCGCTGATTACAGAGCCCAAAGGGAGGCTGACAGGCAGACGGGCAGACGAGCAGACAGACAGCCGCTGCCTGTGTCTTACCCCCACCGGAGTGTGTGCCACCTCCTTTACTTGCCCACGCCTCCTTCATATGCTCTCTCCTCTTCTTGCCACCTCCTCTTGCGTCTTCTTCAGGCCTCTTTCCCCTTGCCTTTACCCCTTGTCGCCTTCGTTTACTCACTCCACTTCTGGGCTTCTGCTTGTACTCCTCTTGCCTCTACGTGACGCCTTCTGCTCCTCTTGTGCTCCCTTT